CAAGAATCCCTGTTCATGAACGTGATCGTTTTGTTAGAGCAAGGCAACTGATAAAAATCATAAAAATACTTCGAGAAAATCGGAGTGACCAGAGCACTGTCAATGCATTATGTAAGACACTAGGTTTTCTGTCTGAACAAGAAATTGTGGATAAATATGAAAGGGGTATGAGGATTGGAAGAACACCGGTTTCTGAAAAGGGTACAGTACTTAAAGAGACATCTAATGTTAAGAAAACCCCTACGACAGAGAAGAAAGAGATTTCTAGAAAAGGAAAAGAGAAAATAGGGGAACAGTCGAATGTTGGTGGAGATGAATCTGTTGGTGAGGAGGAACTCCAAATTGTAGAAAAAAGCAAGAACATAGACTCTAGGAAGGAGGATAATGATGAGAAATTATTCACTGAGTTTGTGCCTATTTCTGGAATTCCCCCTGATGATAAGAAAAGAGACAGTTTGTTCAGAAATAAAACACATCAGATTACTTACAACTCTCTCTGAGTCAGAGGAATCATGAATAACAGAGTAGTAGACTTCAATTTCTTTGAAAACTTCAATATCAAGATTCAAACGCTGATTGAAAATCTTGATTTTCAGATAATGTGCTCTCTTTCCCACAAGGTTTACCCCGAACTCACTGCTTACTTCTATTCTAATCTATCTTTCAATTCTCCTACTGAGATTGAATTCTCTATTTTTCAACAAGATTATAAGTTAACAGCCTTTGATCTCTCTGCCATTTTAGGAGTAAAATATACTGAATTTTCTCTTATTTCTACCACTTCTGATTCGGCATACCGATCTCTGTCTGGTAACTCATCTTTCGTCAAAGGTTCCACATCTCATGTATCTCACATTCTCTTTCGTCTCAACTCCATTGTCCTGCACAAAATCATCATAAACTGTCTCAGATTCAAAGGATCTTCCAAAACTAATGTCTCTAGATATGAGGCAAAGCTGATTTGGGCAATTCAAAACACCTTTCCTATATCTTTGTCCCATTTGATCCTTCTATAAATGTACAGACCTGTTAAGAAGAACAAAGGTCAACTTCCTTATGGAGCTCTGATCATTGCCATTTTTGAATTCTTCAAAATTCCCATTCCTGATAAACTCAAAGGTAAACCTCTTCAAATTATGACTGTAGGGAAACTTATGATGACTAAGATGGGATATAGGTTTGATGAAGAAAGTTGGAAGGATAAGAAGGGTAAGATTATTCCAGTCGAGCTGATGAGTGAACAGAACAAGAGTTTTATTAATATACTTCATGAATCTGATGAGGAGGAGTTGATCGAACCTCTAGTGAGAAAGAGAAAAGTGAAGCAAACTGCCTCAAGATCAGACATACCAGCCAAAAGAAGACAAGCAGTGGCCAGTGATTCTGATGAAATGGAGATATCAGATGACCATTTTGATGAGCAATCTCAAGCTGATAACAGAAGCCTTGAGGAAATAAGGTTTACGCAATGGCTACTTAATCAAGAAGCCAAGCATAAAGCTCATGCAGATAGGCATGCTACAACTCAGCTCGAAATTCAAAGGCTGCGAGATGAGGATGAAAGCTTGATACAATCACTTAGTGATCTCATCAACAAAATTGTAATGGAAAATCAGCAAGAGCAAATGACCACTGTAGAGAAAGAAACTGACGATATGCAGTTCTACGGAGAAGGACCCTTTAGGAGAAAGGGGGAGATTGAGCATGAACATGTTATAGAGGCTGAAATGCAGGAGTATGAGCAAGATAATGCTCAAAATGTTGAAGAAAATAGCTTTGATCCGGCTGACATTTAGGAGGAGCAAAATCAGAATGCACAAGAGGCAGACCCTTCAGAAGCAACATCTGCAGATTTCCCTCTTGAAGGAGATGAACATGAAAATGTTCCATCTGAAGTTCAACAGAAAGGAAAAGAGAAGGTCGTAGAATCTGTTGACATTCAGACCACAAACACTCCCTCTAGATACAATATCTCCTCATCTATGTCAGATCATGCAGCTATTACATATCTGAGGTGGAGGCAAGCTGCTATTCAGAATGAAGTCAGGGAACTCCGAAACGAACTTAAAGAAGGAATCCAGGAGCTCAAGGACTTGATGGAAGCAAGAATTAACAATCTAAAGGTACAAGTCAGAACTGATGTACAAATTGCAGCAATTCACACTGCCAATATTGAAGGATAGATTCATCAGCTCTCATCACATATTGAGCAACGATTGAACCAACTTTCTAGCTTCAGTCTTGTCCAAGTGCCTTTCCCACCTGCACCTTTTGGACCTTCTTCATCTGAATCCTCTAGACCCTCTGCCCCTCCAGCAAATCAGCAAAACTGATCACATATCTTCCCATCAATTCATTTCTGAGCTATTTGTTTTAGTGTTCCATATTTGTTTTTGTAATGTTGGCGTGAACTTTGGATATTGACTTGTGTTTCGACACTGGTTGTTATACTCTTCAGTTGAACTCTTATTGCATTTTTATTGATTATGCTATTGCTACTTATTCTTTCTGCTGATGTCAAAAAGGAGGAGAAGTATTCTAAAAATTGAATATGCAAGTGGCGTGAGTAGTAAAATGAGAACTGATATACTTAAATATCTTGCTTTATATGCTTTGAATATTATATATGTTATATCATCTGAATAGACTATTTTGTTCACATAAATATTTCTAAAGCATGTGAATAGTTTTGTCATCATAAAAAAGGGAGAGAATGTTGAGGAAAATCCCTAATTAGTTTTGAAGAATGACAAAACAATCTTTTACTAACCACAATTACATTTAAGTTATTTGATGCAGGTAAATGCTGAGTCATCAGACTTAGTCGATGAAAGGACTTTGTTATCAGACTCTAAATTACTCGTCAGATTCACTAAGTGTTATTTTTGACAAGTGTATGCAGGATAATCAAATTGATATTTCAAGATATTCTAATTGGCAATCACAAGATCGTTCCTTAAACACGAAAAACTACATTTATGGAAACCTTGATTTGATTGTATGGGCGATCAAATCATCCAGAGATAATAGTTCTTCTTTTAACGGCTATGTATTTTCTTTTTCGAAAGTTTCTCCAACGGGTTGATTTGGAGATCAATCCTCTGAAGACTGTTTAACGGATAAATTGGAAGTAGAGGAGTATAAAATGAGTGCAAACGTCGTACAAGAAGAATAACCAGAATCGAGAATTTCAAAGTCTAAATAGAGCTTTAATCTTACACACTTGTGATTACTGTATTCCACGTTGTTACTTTAGAAAGAAAATTACTTGAGTGAAGAGTGTACGTGATAGTGCAGTCTATCATCTGAGAAGCATTGCTCTTGTAATCTCTTGGTGATTCAATAGTAAAACACAGTCAATAGGCTGCCAGCGTGGAGAGTGGACGTAGGCTTGATAAAGCCGAACCACTATAAAAATCTGTGTGCAGTATTCTCTATCCCTAAACTTTCATTTATTATTACTGACATTATACTGCATACATATCTGTCAAATAAGTTCGTTAAAACATCATCTTAGTCATCAGATGCAATCATCTGACGACAACTTATATACAAGTTTGCCATACGCATCCATTTGACATTGTTCATATGAGTTGTTGACCTCGACTGTTTTTATTCCACACGTTTAAATCATTCAATTTGATAAAATCACCTATTCACCCCCCTCTAGGTAAAAGCACTAGCCGTAACAGAAGTAAAGTTGTTGATTCCCTTGTTTGCCTGGATATTTTCTGTCTAGAGTTGGTGCGGAACCCATCTCCTCTAGTAAAAAGCGGAGAACGGCTTTTGTGGTGAAAGGTAGTTCGTCGCGTGAGAAATTCCGAAGAAACAAATTCACTTACTTTGCACAGGTCAAACTTAAGCATAGTGACACTATTATCACAGCCACAGAATTAGGATTCTTGGGCTGTCTAAGTACGATCTCGACGTTCATTGCCGAGTTCCATGCGATGAGACAGAGCAAGTATCCTTGGCGAGCTTATGCGTATGCCTTCGGCTGCGGAATTCTCATGTACAAACTACCAATTTGGATTAAGAGCTGTGATTAGAATTTTCTGGTGCCTCATATGCTGAACATAGAAGAGAGACTGGATTAACTGTGCCGTCTTCTGCAAACGGTTGAATGTGTAAGGAGTGGATCTATGGGCTGTCTAAGTAAAACTGCCGTAGGTGTCTCGTTTGGCTCCCAGATTCTCATATACAATCTACCAAATTTGGATTGAGATCTGTGACTAGAAATCTTTTCAGAGAGTTGAATACTGAACATAGAATCTGACAAAAAAAAAGAAGAATACTGAACATAGAAGAGAGACTTGGTGGATGAACTAAGTGCCATCTTACTTTCAAACAGTCGAAGGACTGTTGATTTGTCACGTATTAGAAGCATCTTTAAAGATGCAAACCGCCTCGTCTAATTAGGAAATCATCTTTCAGAAAGTTGAAACCAAAGCATGTTGCTTTTTTCCTGGATTCTTAATTCCACCCTTATTAGTAGTATGATGAGATTAAGAAAGTGATGGAGAAGCAACAAAAGCTTCCATATCAAGGAATTAGAAGGGAAAAATCTACAAACCTAGCAGCTCATTTCGGATCGGTTCTGAATTTGCGATGCTTTGAGAAATAGAAAAAGGTGTAACGCATATAGTGGCCCAGGCACGTCAAAAGAAGAGGTCTAGACGGCCTCACCTATCGAGGAATTGGACATACATGCAGCCTCACTCATGCATAACGGAGCGATGTGGAACTTCATCTCTATCCAGGCTACTGCAATATCCAGCTTCGTTGTGGTATATGATATAAAGTGAAAAGCCAGATTGAATGAATGACAAAAGATCTCTATGTATATTTTCCCATTGAAAGTTAGACAGAACAGTATGTTTTGGCCTCGCGTGCTACGGTAGGTAGAACCAACGCTAAAGAAGACCAAACATTCAAACAAGGAAACCAGCAATTTTCTGTCTCTATATATTTGCATTACATTCGAATATCTAAGTCCGAGTCGCTCTTAATAATGAGTGACTCTGACGTAGATATTGAATACACCTAATATTTTCTTCTCATTAATACCGAGTACTGTAGTAATTGAAACCAAACAGTAGCTGCCCATCGAGTACTAGTAATTGAAACCGAACAGTAACTGCCCATCGAAAGTTCAAACCCAAAAAGAAGAAGAAAACCTATGGAAGTGGAGAGAGTTCAGGCATTGGCGACAGTTGGCCTCGACGCGCTTCCGGCCCAGTTCGTCCGGCCCTCCCACGAGCGGCCGGAGAACAGCCGGGCCATCGAGGGCGTTACCGTGCCGGTGATCTCGTTATCCCAGCCCCACCACGCTCTCGTCTGTGAAATCCACAAGGCGTGCCGCGAGTGGGGATCCTTCCTCGTGACCGACCATGGGATACCACCGGAGCTGGTCAGGCGGCTGCAGGAGGTGGGCCGTGAGTTCTTCAGACTCCCACAAGAGGAGAAGGAGAAGTACGCAAATGACCCCTCAAGAGGAAATTTTGAAGGGTATGGGACAAAGATGACCAAGAACCATGATGAAAAGGTCGAGTGGGTGGATTACTTCTTCCACCTCATGCATCCACCTTGCAAGGTCAGGCATGAAATTTGGCCTCAACACCCACCATCTTACAGGTAACAATTTTGATATATGTAGAAGAGGGTTCTTGAAAACTTAGTCAAAGTTCATTCTAACAGACCAAGTTCAAGATTTATCAGTAGAATAACGGTATGAGCTCTGACCCTATAAATAATAGACGTGTTAGAGCGAATTTCACCCACTATCTTTAGCTCTATCTGCCGCAACATACTTTTTTGACGTCTCTTGCAAGGTCTCTCTGTCGGATGGATAAATGTCGGTATATTATGACACTAACGTTTTACTGTTTAATTGGTGTACAGTCGCGTGGCGGGGTCGACTTTCTTGAATTGGACTTTCTAAATTTGTATTATCGATGTTGCTTTCGCGATGAAAAGACAAGAACATGTTACTAAAACTTTGAATTAGTATCTTCAGTTCCATCCTTGTCGGTGAAGTACTCTTTTTCCTGGTGGGACAATGAACTGTGAAGTTGATAGACATGATCGGATAAGATGCGTCTTTCAGTGTCTCGTCGCTCATCAACCCAAAGATAATGTGGGCCGCCACCGCCCACGGCCACACCCCCGGCGAGCTGGCCACGGCCGGTGGGCAGTGGCCACCACAAAACTTTTTCTTTACAATTCTAGAAGTTGTCTATTTTGGTTTCTTTTCAATATTATTTTATTTTAAATTTATATATCTTGTTTTTGTCTTTTCTTGGGATGTTTATCAATCATTATTTGGTTAGATTGATTATTTTTGTAGATTACACTTGTGGGTAGGAGATATTACTAGGAACAACCTCTTTTACTGTAGACTTTTTGTTTTTTTCTTGGGTCAAGCTTTTACTGTATCGTAGATATGTTTACCGAGTATGAATATTTTTTAACTAAAGAACAATGGGCAAACTAATCAACAGGTAAAAAAATTAATGATTCAGATTAATCATAATGTTTTAACGGTGAGAGATCTAACCTTATCATGGGTACTTTGGTAATAGAAAATCGTAAAAATAAACTCATTTTACTCTCCATAAATGTGGTATACAACAAAATAGATGAAGTTATTGATAATAACTAATTTGTTTTCCTTTTGAAGCCCAATACAATACAACTGAAAAACTCCGATACAGTGATGTTTGGTTACGCGTAATAATAAACTCTTAATCTGCGTCGTTTGAATGCTAATTGCATTTTTCCGTAGCACTTATTTCGATTTTCAGTTTTAAAATTAAGAAACTATCTTCTTAAGTTCAACCAAACACCACCTCAGCTTAGTTGATGTATTTGTGATGCTCATTCTTTATCTTCTCATCCTCAAAGAGTTGAGAGAAGAGTTATTTATGAAGAAAATGGATGGTACAAGTGTTTCTATAATTTGTTGTTTTCTTGCATATTCATATTTTATTTACTGCTCGATTTCACCACTGCAACAACAATATATGCCGGCCTGACACAGGGAAGTGACTGAAAAATACAACAAGGAGATACTGAGAGTGACAGAGGTGCTGCTGGAGCTGATCTCCGAGGGTCTAGGATTGGAGAAAAATGTCCTCAAGGCAAGTTTGGGAGGCGACCAAATGGAGCTAGAGATGAAAATAAATTTGTACCCACCCTGCCCACAACCTCAACTGGCCCTCGGCGTCGAGCCTCACACCGACATGTCAGCGCTCACCATACTGGTCCCGAATGAAGTTCCGGGTCTTCAGGCTTGGAAAGATGGCTACTGGTATGCCGTAGATTACCTGCCCAATGCGCTTTTCTTCCACGTTGGCGATCAAATTGAGGTAAAATGTGATAAAATAGCAAATTGCTTCTAGGAGAAAAAATTCCTACATTCGACTTACTAGGGATGCTATTTGCAGGTTCTAAGCAATGGGAAGTACAAAAGTGTTCTTCATAGGAGCTTGGTGAACAAGGAAAAGACGCGGATGTCATGGGCAGTGTTTTGTGCCCACCCCCCCCCGCAGGAGGTGCTGATTGGGCCTCTCCCCGGGCTTATCAACGACCAGAACCCAGCAAAGTACTCAACCAAAACGTATGCCGAGTTTCGGTACCGCAAATTCAACAAGGTCCCGCGATAGTTTTCTACTCTAGGATCCACGAACCTGATATCACAACTTCATTTCCTCTGTTGTTTCAACTGTAACTCATTTCTGTTAGAAATTAAACCAAATTTGTTAGTACGTGTTTCCTTTTTGAGTCTATTCGTATTTCCATATTTTGTTAGATATTGTGAGATATTATTTCTAGTTATATTTTAGGAAAGTTTCCTAAGTCAATTAGATTTCCTAATCAGAATAGGTTTCCTAGAAAGAGGTTTCCTATTTCGAATCAAACTATGGTCTATATATAGTCTATTTCTCTTGTAATTGAGACATGCAATAGAAAGACGCGAATTGCGATTGTTTCACCTTCAAAAATTCCTTTCATCAAATCAATATTGTTGCCGCGCCTCTGACGCTCAACAAATTGGTATCAAAGCTTACGGTTCGTGATCATGGCCTCAACGAACAATCAGCTTCCTCTTTAATACCCTCGTCTTACCAAAGAAAATTATGGTAACTGGGCTGTTAGAATGAAAGCTCTACTCGGCGCCTACGATGTGTGGGAATTTGTTAACACTGGCTATGATGAGCCAGAGGATGAAGCCACGTTGAACCAGAATCAGAGGAATGCCTTGGAGAAGGCTCGAACGAAAGATCAATATGCCATGTCGATCATCTATCAAGCGTTAGATGATTCCATGTTCGAAAAAGTTTCGAACGCCACTACCGCTAAAGAGGCATGGGAGATTCTTCAAAACACACATCAAGGAGTTCAGAAAGTTCAGAAGATTCGCCTTCAAACCTTGATAGGTGAATTCGAGATAATTCATATGAAAGAATCTGAATCGATTGCTGATTATTTCACAAGAATTTTGGCAATTGTTAATCAGATGAAAAGAAACGGAGAAGACGTTTCCAATGTTCCCGTTGTCGAGAAAATACTTCGGTCCTTAGGCAAGAAGTATGATTATATTGCGGTTGCAATCGAAGAATCCAAAGACTTGGATGCCATGACGGTCGATGAACTTATGGGTTCATTACAAGCCCATGAAGAAAGGTTTAGAAAGAAAAAGATTGAACCGGTGGAGGATGTTCTCCAAACGCAGTTGACCATACGAGATGAAAAGGAGCAAAGAAGAGATCCCGTACAAAATCGCGGGACAAATCAAGATCGTGATTGAGGTCGTGGCCGAGATCACTTTCGAGGAAGAGGTCGCGGACGAAGCAGAGGAGATCCTGCTCGAAGTGATGGAGGATACCAGTACCAAAGAGGTGTTCGTGGAAGAGAAAAGAACTCGACAAGCCAATGGTATGATAAATCTAAAATCCGATGTTATCATTGCAATAAACTTGGCCATTATGCTTCTGACTGCTGGAATAAAGAAAGTAGCAGACCAGACGAAAAGGCGAACTTGGTAAATAATGATGATCAAGTTCTCTTATTGGCATTCAAAGAAGATGAAGAAGGTCAAAGCGATACGTGGTATTTGGATACCGGCGCAAGTAATCACATGTGTGGGAGAAAGGAGATGTTTGCCGAGTTAGATGAGACAATTAAAGGGAATGTCTCATTCGGTGATAACTCTAAAATTCTTGTCGAAGGGAAAGGTACAATTTTGATTCGCTTAAAGAACGGTGTACGTCAGTTTATTACTAATGTTTATTATGTTCCAAAAATGTCAAGCAATATCTTGAGTTTGGGACAACTTCTGGAGAAAGGTTATACTGTTCATATGAGAGATCTTAATCTTATGTTGAGAGATCGGAATAATAAATTGATTGCAAAGGTGAAGATGTCAAAGAACAGGATGTTTATTCTTAATATAAAGAGTGAGATGTCTCGATGTCTAAAGACGTGCGTAGATGATCGTTCATGGTTGTGGCATTTGAGGTTTGGCCATCTCAATTTTGGCGGACTCAATTTGCTTTCTCGCAAGAAGATGGTTTATGGCTTACCACATATTGATCATCCCGATCAATTATGTGAAGGGTGTGTTATCGGCAAGCATTCCAGAACTAGCTTTCCGAAGGAGGCGACTTATCGAGCGAATAAGCCGCTTGAGTTGATTCATTCTGATTTGTGTGGCCCGATCAATCCTCACTCATATGGTAATCATCGATATTTTGTTACTTTTATTGATAATTTTACTCGGAAAACTTGGGTGTATTTTTTGAAAGAAAAGACAGAAGTGTTTGATATTTTCAAACAATTCAAGAATCTGGCTGAAAAGGAAAGCGGCTATTTTATCAAGGCTTTGAGGACTGATCGTGGTGGAGAATTCACCTTAAACATATTCAACAAATTCTGTGAAAATCATGGTATTCGGCGTTTCTTGACGGCCCCATATTCTCCTCAACAAAACGGTGTGGCTGAACGGAAAAATAAAACCATTCTTGATATGGTTCGAAGCATGTTGAAGAGCAAAAATTTGTCCAAGGAACTTTGGGCAGAAGCTGTTTCGTGTGCCGTCTATCTTCAAAATAGATGTCCAACATATGGACTTGAAGGCATAACTCCACAAGAGGCATGGACCGGGAGAACACCAAGTGTTTCCCACTTGAGAATTTTTGGGAGCATTGCATATGCTCATGTCCCGGATCAAAAAAGATCGAAACTTAAAGACAAGAGCAAAAAGCTCATCTTTATCGAGTATGACTCATCATCCAAAGCCTATCGATTATTTGACCCTAACACTTTGAAAGTGTATGTAAGTAGAGATGTCAAGTTCGATGAAGATGGAATGTGGGAAGAAAATCTAAAAGAAGAAGCGAATGTTCGTGATGATTCCGATCAAACGGAGTTGAAAGATCAACCTTCACCTTCTTCTCCAACATCTTATTCAAGTTCATCAACACCATCCTCTTCAAATAGTGTCGATGAACCGCTAGTGCCAAGATCAAGAAGATTGTCTGAAATTTACGAAGCTACCAAAGAGCTTCATCTTATATGTCTTCTTGCAGATTATGAACCACTTGCTTATGATGATGCGGCCAAAGAAGAAAAGTGGACGAAAGCCATGAACAAAGAAATTGAAGCCATCGAGAAAAATCAAACATGGGAGCTTGCTAATCTTCCGAAGGACAAGAAATCAATTGGTGTTAAATGGGTGTACAAGGCCAAGAAGAATGAGAAAGGTGAAGTAACAAGGTACAAAGCTAGATTAGTCGCGAAGGGGTACAAGCAAAATGCCGGAATCGACTATGATGAAGTTTTTGCCCCTGTCATCCGCATGGAAACGATTAGATTGATTATTTCCATTGCTGCTCAAAATAATTGGCGGATTTATCAAATGGATGTCAAATCAGCATTCTTAAATGGCATCCTTGAAGAAGAAACTTATGTCGAACAACCCGAGGGGTTTGTTGTGAAAGGTTATGAAGACAAAGTGCTAAGGTTGAAGAAAGCTCTATATGGGCTTAAACAAGCACCGAGAGCATGGAATTCCAGAATTGATGCATATTTCAAGGCGAATTGATTCTCTCAATGTCCATACGAGCATGCACTTTATTTGAAGCAAAAAAAAGGTGATATTCTACTCGCCTGTTTATATGTTGATGATCTTGTTTTTACAGGAAATAATTCGGCGATGATTGATGCTTTTAAGGCATCGATGGTGAAAGAATTTGAGATGACTGATAATGGTCTCATGAATTATTTCCTTGGTATCGAAGTGAAGCAAAGTGCCGATGGGATTTTTATTTCCCAAAAAGGATATGCAGAAAATATCCTTGAAAAATTCAACATGAAGAACTGTATGCCGGTCAATATACCAATGGAGTGTGGAACCAAGCTTTCGAAGTTTGATGATGGTGCCGATGTTGATTCGACATATTATAGAAGCTTGATTGGAAGTTTGAGATACTTGACATGCACGAGATCGGATATTATGTATAGTGTTGGAATTGTTAGTCGATACATGGAGAAGCCGAAATTATCTCATCTTAAAGCTGCAAAGAGAATACTTCGGTACATCAAAGGTACTATTTCTCATGGTTTACACTATTATTGCTCTGAATCTTTCAAACTTAGAGCTTATTCGGATAGTGATTATGGTGGAAATATCGACGATCGAAAAAGCACCACGGGATTTGTATTTTTCTTGTGCGACACTGCTTTCACGTGGTCATCAAAGAAGCAATCAAGTGTTACTCTGTCGACATGTGAAGCTGAATATGTAGCTGCATCTTCATGCGTTTGTCATGCAATATGGTTGAGAAGACTACTCAAAGATATTCTTATGGAGCAGAAGAAAGCAACGGAGATTTTTGTTGATAATGTTTCTGCTATTGCTTTGGCGAATAATCCAGTTTTTCATGAACGAAGTAAACATATCGATGTTCGATATCACTTCATCCGAGAACAGGTTAAAGAGAATGAAGTTGAAGTATTGCATGTGAAGACCGGAGATCAAGTAGCAGATATTTTTACTAAACCTCTCAAGATTGATGCTTTTCGAAAGTTCAAGAGCCTGCTTGGAATGATCGATGGAAGAGAATTTGGTTTAGGAGGGAGTGTTAGAAATTAAACCAAATTTGTTAGTACTTGTTTCCTTTTTGAGTCTATTCGTATTTCCATATTTTGTTAGATATTGTGAGATATTGTTTCTAGTTATATTTTAGGAAAGTTTCCTAAGTCAATTAGATTTCCTAATTAGAATAGGTTTCCTAGAAAGAGGTTTCCTATTTCGAATCAAACTATGGTCTATATATAGTCTATTTCTCTTGTAATTGAGACATGCAATAGAAAGATGCGAATTGCGATTGTTTCACCTTCAAAAATTCCTTTCATCAAATCAATATTGTTGCCGCGCCTCTGACGCTCAACAATTTCTGTGTTGCCAAGAAAGTGTGCCTTCATTATCTTGGAAGTGAATTCTACGCAGTTGCATGTACTAAATAATCTTGCGTCGTTCAATCACCACAAGGAATTTCCTCGTAATTTTTTACTTTGATATCTATGGCCGCCATCATTTTATGCACGTAACATGCGGCCCTTTTTGAATTTGAGGCTGTCTCTAGAATCACATTCGAGAAGAATTGTCAATTTGAAGAGAATATGCTCCGACCGATGGCAAGTTGAGTGGCGGTTGATGTGGATTGATGGGT